GCTTCTGTTTGAGCTCGAGGCTCAGACATCCACCGACCTACGTGATTTCTTTGCTTGGCTATTTCCCAAGCCGGTCCTATATCCTCCACCCCACACTGAGCTCCTAATCTTCCCCTAAGAAAACACCTTCCTCCCCAAGTCCTCCCACGCAGCATCTGTCACACCCTCTACCTGGGTGCTCCCTCACCTCCCACATCTAAGCCAACAGCCACGTCCTGAGGATCACATCTGCCACCTCCTAACCCTCACCACCTTGAACTCTCCCTGGCACTGCCACAACCTTGCAGATCCAAGGCCCTGTGTCCCTTGCTGCTGCTGTCTCGCTGGAGAGAAGCCCACGTCATCATAAAAAGGTTAAATCAGCATCACCCTCTTCCCCTGGGCCTGGGACTAAGACTCCTGCACGACCTGGTCCTGCCAACCTGATACCCTCGAAGCTAAATCCAAGTGACACTGGAAGTTTCAGCTCCTCAGACACACCAAGTTCTTCCCTGCCTCGGGACCTCTGCATGACTGAGCCCTGCGCATGGGGCAGTTCCACAACCACCCAGAGAGAGAGCAGAGAGAGGGGGAGGGTCACCCCGCTCCTTGCTGGCTCTATCAAGTGCTTCAGGTCCCAGCTAGTAAGTTCCTTCCTAGGGTCCCCCGGCATGGTTTCTTTAGCGGAAGCAGTTACCCCCACGTGTGCGTCCAACAGATGAGGTGGTAACCGGCCGCTGCCTTGCTGAGAGTCCAGCTGTCATGCCAGACCCGCCTCGTCTGGCCCCCGACCCACCACATGTCAGCAAACCATCCCCGTGCACCCTGCACCTCCCGGGCCCCCTGAGCCCCTTCAGGCCAGGAACCACCCTCACCATCATCACGGCGGGGGCACCGAGCACAGTGCCTGGCACACATCAGGACCTCAAAGAAATAGTTGCCACTTTAATGAGTCATGTGATCTGAAAAGCTTTTAAGGTTTGGAACAAACTTTCTTCCAAGACCAAATGACTCAAAAAAGAAAGAGGGAGGGAGGGAGAGGGGGGCAGAAAGAGAGAGAGAGAGAGAGAGAGAGAGAGAGAGAGAGAGAGAGAGAGAGAGAGAGAGAGAGCAGGAGGGAGAAACCACAGCCGAACATGCATATGCTTAAGATTTTTAATTTTATATTTAAGGAAAGAGAATGAAATGGTCTTAGACTCATTTTATTTTCATATAAAGAGGAGCATAAAACCACGAGGCGTGCCAAAAAAAATGAAGTTTTATAGTGTGGCAAATAAGAAAAAGAGAAGGGTGGGACCGATAATTGAGAGGAGGCAAGACGCCGGCGCGGCACAGAAATAGAAACAGATGCAGCGATAAAGGGAGACAGAGACCACGCGCCGGCCCAGCGCAGGCGGTGCAGGCGGTGCAGGCGCTCCTCGGCGCTTCTGGGAACACGGGGGCAGCCCTCCCAGTTTCAAAGGGGTTTTCACACCTCCCCAAAGGTTAGGGAGCGCGAGGCTGCTACAGGCCTCTCTCTTCTTCGTTTTCCAAGAAGTTTCAAAAAAACTGACTTTCTAGGCTAAAACGCATAGGTCGGCCCATTTCATGTTGAAGAGAACACTATTCGGAGGATCTCACTTGAGAAAAATACCCCACTTCGCAGCTTTGGAAGGCAGGGTGACGCATGTTTAAGTTATACATTGCTTTTTCAAAGGTTCGAGCACGAAGAGGGAGGAGGCCTCAGGGGCCGCCGGAGGGAAGGCTGTGGACTGCAGGCGCGGTATAGCTGGGATTTTTTGCACATCACACCCAGGCTGTTTCCTTCTCTGGAACTTTCCGTGGCCCCAGCCCCCAATGGGGGTGAGCAGAGCCTAGCACCGAGCCTGGACTGACTCTCTAGCCGAGCAACCTGGAGCCGTGGGCTCACCCTTCCCAACCAGGGCCAATTAAGTGCCCCCGAGAATCAAGGTTTGGGCACCAGTGGGCTGACAAGGGGATGAAAATTGCAACAAAGAAGGAGGGCGAGGGGCCAAAGGGCAGGAGGTCTGGATATTCCATCCCAGGCTCTCTGCCTCGGTGAGCAGGTAAGACAACGACGGTCAGGGAAGCTGTGCGCAGGTGGAACCAGGCCCAGCACTCAATAGCTACGACCTTGTACAAGCTCCTTGACCTCCTGCTTCACAGGGCTGAGGAGAAGTAAATGAGCCTGCATACAGAATAGGGCCAGGCCAGCTGTCCATGCTGGCTGCGCACTCACACTGCTATTATCATCTTGTTAAAGGGCAAGCTCACGAGAGCCAGGACTTCTGGCTGCTGGCTCATTCCATCACCCGGAATCGAGACCCACAGTGAGTGCTCAACAAACACGGTCAGAAAATAAAGACACCACATGGCTCTAAAACGCAGCGGCCATAAAAAGAGCCTCCTAACTTCCCCTTATCTTAGTTCCTACTCTCCACAGAGCCATCAGAGCGGAACTTATCAAAGCCTAAATTGAATCATGCTGTTTTCCACTTTTCACATCCCAGGAGAAAAGTGAAACTCTCCCCCCATGGCTTTCCAGGCCCTGCATGTTCTGGCCCCTTCTAGCCTTTCTCTCCCGTCACTCCCGCCTTGCACACTCCAGTTACACCAGCTTCCTCAAGTTCCTCTGCCTCCGGCCATTTGCACTTGGTGTTACCCCTCAGCATCCTCAGCCTTAGTCTCTTCCCTGAGTTCTTCAAAAATGCTTGTCCTCCATCAGCACCAGCGCCTCTGCTTCACACACCCAAAGCCCCGTGCACTGTTCCTTCATGCCACGTGCCACCTTGGTAATTTCATCGCTTGCATTATTATTTAGATTTTTTTGAATCCTTCATTGTATTTCAGCATCAAGCGCAACATATGGCAAAGAGCAGGTGCTCAAGGAACAGCTGCAGGACAGGTCTACCTGCTGATGGGCTAACCGAGCACAGAAAGGTGGCCCCCTGACTGCTCAAGTTCAAGTTTTTCTTGAATTGACTCTCCTGGCCTGGTTTTATGCAGTACAGTAGTCTCCTCATAAAGCCCCCCTTTTCTAATTTGCTTTAAATGAATTTCTCTCTCTTTTACTACCAATGACTGATACTAATACCACCAGACACCCTGACTAAGACCACTCTCTGAGTGGGGAGGTTCCCATTCTAGATCAGCTGAGCCCGGATCACGGACTTTCTTTTCCAAAAAAACAAAACTCAGGCATGACAGAGTAAGTGGTCCCAGACCAGCCCTTCAATCAGAAACAATTATAACACAGGACAAAGGCATCTCAGTCAGCTGCTTTCAGGCATTAGACAGCAGGCAGAAGACCATGGTGCCTGAGAGAAAGGAAACATCCATCCAGGTTCTGTCTGAAAACAGCTTTTCTATCTCATGCAGAAGGAGGGGTGCATGGAGTTCACAAAGAGCATAGAGTTCAGAGTTCCTGAGCTATGGAAGCAGCCGAAATCTGTGGGCAAGGCATCAGGGAGGAGGAAGGTGCTTGGGAAGCCAAGTGTGGGCACAGAGAGGCCAGTATGGAGTAGAAAGGTGAGTGGTGAGTGACTGAGCTGGCTATGAATTTATAATTTGAGCCCAGAGGGAGGGGTGACTTCCCTACCAAGTAAGCCAGAAGTCTTCGCTTCAGGAACAAAGGTATGCTCCAGTAAGAGCTACTCAAGTCCTGGCCTAACCAAGACTCAACTAGGAACTACTAACCAACTACTCTAGGAACATTGGAAGGCCAAGTCCCATCAAGTTGGAGGCCAACACCACGGACTTTACTTACCTCCACCCTAACCAAGCATGGAACCAAGCCTAAACAAGTTCAAAGTGATCAGGCAGTAACTGAACTGCCTTTAGAGGAAAATAACAAAGTCCATAATCTACAATGCCCAGCATATAGTGTCACAATGTCAGACTATAACCAACAATTACTAAACATGCAAAGAAGAAAATACAACTCATAACAATGAACAAAAACAGAAACAATGAACTGAAAATAGATGCCCAGGTAGCCATGATGTCAGATTTAGATAAAGTAACTGCCAAAGTGTCAAGTTCCGGTGGAGATTTGGGGGTTCCTTGGGTTTTGTTTTTTTGTCTGCATTTTACTCACTTCATAGTTTCTAAGTAAATAGTTTCAGGAGATACTTAAGAATCCACATTTTTAGAAACTCTCTAGAAGTTTCTGATGCACAGTGTATCAGATTTTTATCACATAATTCTCATTATGGAATAGTTGAAGGCAAATACAAAAAAATGTTAAATTAATTTAAACGTATTGATGGTTCTGGTTCATCAAGTTAGTTGGTTGGAACTAGTCAGCAGTTCCTGGTTAACCAGACTATACAATTTAAAACATTTCACCTCTAATTATTTTGGAGGAAAAAAGCATACTTCTCTACGTATTTTTTTTTAATCTGAGGTTAAATCAAAAGCCACAGACATAAATGATAATGATTAAGAAAAAAACAAGAGGAAATGCGCATGGTTTAATATAAAGTTAAAAAAAATCTGAGCACAAACTGCTGTAATAACAGTATATAAGTGGATAGTAGGCAACAGAGCCACGAAAGGCAAGAGAAAATCTATCAAAATGCTAATAATGGTTATTTCAGATAATTTAACTATGTGCAGTTTTAGTTTTTTCATACTTTACAAAAACTATACTGATTTTCCTCTAGGCACTCTCAACTGAAATTTAAACACAAAATGATGGCTCTGGAAATCTTCTGTCAATATGCTAGAACTTTGCAAACTCAGTGATTTCCCAATCAGAATGGGAAGGGCAGAAGGACCTTGAGTAGGAAGGACCTTCCTACTCATGCTGGGAAGGACCTTCCCAGCTCTGGAAGACCTTCTCTGGTTTGAGCAGCTGGAATAGCTTCTGATACTAATTCAATCTCAATTTTTCCCTTCCTCAGAGAAGCAAGAGACAGAGACACATGTTTCAAAGTAATAAGCAACAAGCAGCACCTTACAGAAGTGGATCACATAGGGACAAATGAGGGACATGAAAAGAACAGAATTCAAGTCCATACCTGAACCACAGGGTGGCCGCCCGTTGGAGCTTTCACAGCCCCTCGGCTGCCTTCTGTCTCATAATGGGCCCGGTGATGCGGTTTGGGCTGCACTTCAATCCGTAGTTCATAGGAGCCTGACTGGTGAGATAGTGGCCACTCAAGTGGAGGGAGTGATGCAGTCACTGGGATGCTGAAGGAGAAACAGAAGCATTCATGGTACAACAAATCAGAGTCAACCAGTACAATAAACGTAAATGGCCGCTTTTATAAAAGTCATGTTCCCTGGTCACACAAAAGTAGAGACCTTTCTCTTTACTTCTCTTCCATACTGAAGACACTGTGACTTGTATCTCAATCCATGAAGTTATTTGCATTATATGTTCATTCTAGCATGTCTTTAACTCCTGTAATTTAATTTTCCTCCAGGAATTCTGAAGACACACACCTCTAAAAAACAACCCTTAGCCAAAACATTTTCCTTTCCTGGAGAAGGGAAAGAGAAGAAGGAAGAGTGAAGTAGAAACAAGGACTCCCAAGTGTCACTCACGTGCCTTGTGCCCTATAACCATGTAACAAATGGAACAGATGACATCCAAGAACTTTTTCAGCTATTTCTGTGTCCAATGACCTCAATGAAAAGTATATTTTAGGGAGAGGACATTTCTTGTTCTTCAAGTCATTATTTACTGGGTCAAATGCATAACATTGACAGCAGAGAGGTGTCTGGCTTTGGTATGGATGAGCCAAGTCACTCAGACTCCCAATAGTAAATGAAGAGTAATGGTCAAGAACATAACCCAGATACACACCCAAGTTCAAGTCCCAGCCCCACCTCTACCTACCTTTATTACTTTGAGCAAATGCCACCACATCCCTAGGCCTTCATTTCCTCAATTGTGCAAATGGGGGATACTAAGATCATATAAAGAGATCAGCACAATAAGTGCTTGATAAGTAGTAATCATAATTATTTGTTTTCCTACAATATGTGGTCTATTTCAGATAAATAGTTATTTCCTTCAGATCTTCTGACTTACTTTGAATATTTAATACACATGAAGTTGTAAGATCCTTAAGAGCATAATTAAGTTTCATTTTCTTAGTTTCAACCCAACCAAGCACACACAGCCCAGCCATGCAACTTCAGATAGTAAAGATGTGGTTATAATTATGTCATTTAAGAACTGACTGAGGCCTTGACATCCATCGACACTACTTCTTCAGAGTTTCACCTCTACACTGCCTCTTATTTCACTATTTTATTTAAAATAGGTTCAAGAGGAGATCTCACTTATGGAATGGCTCTAGAACCATGTCTGGGACATTTGACAAGTTCTAAGTGAATATTCAGTGAGTGAAAGGGTGTTAGGATGGACAAATAAGTGAGTGGATGAACAGTTTTATTTCAAAGAAGTCTTGTACATTCCAAGTAGCTTTGAAGATGCCAATACATACACTTGTCTCACTACGTCCTGATTTTTCACATATGGAGGAAATCATTAATCCAATTCTTTGTATTATTCTTTTCCATTAAGGCTAGGGCTACTAGAAGCTGACATTATAATAGCCCCCTCCCTTATCTGCAAGACCCCTAGCAGATGCATAAAACCATTTATAGTCCCAAACTCTATACTGTTTTTATTCCTGCACATACATACCAATGATAGTTTGATTTATAAATTAGACACAGTAAGACATGAACAACAATAAGCATAATAAAAAGCAGTGACAGCACATCTAATAAAAGTTAAGTGAATGGGGCCTCAGTGTCTCAAAATATCTTGCTGTACGTAATATTTTCACACCACGATTGACCATGAGTAACTGAAACCTCAGAAAGTGAGACCACAGAGGAGGGAGACACTGCAATAACTAGACTTAGTTCAGCACTTGCAGTGAAGCCAATTCCATCCCTTGTCTATCACAGCAGACTGGCGGGGGGGCGCGGCAGCAACCCTCAAACTCCATCAATTCTGGAGTCGAGCTGGGACATCTATCCCGCTCATAATTATATCATCGCTTTGCAAGCAACTGCCACCCCTTCTTCCCAACCAGACTGCCTCCTGAAGCCCCTCTTATCCTGAAGTCTCAGGGGGTCCCAAGGGCCTTTATTTCTACCTTAGTTACAGTGCCAAGAAACACTCAAGCTTCCGCCTGCAGCCCAGATGCCACTGTATTAAATGCTCTTTCATCATGTACCCAAATTGAAATATTTTAAAATTTGTAAAATCAGGCTTACAAAAAAAATCACTTTACCCCTAAATATCTTTCGAAGGATCAAAGCATTCAGTGAGATATTTCTAAGCACCACGTTCTAATTTTGTTTGGTTCTGGGATAAGTCTTTGACCATTGAAATACCGTCTCAAGAATTAGACCATCGGAGCCAGTGTGAAAATCTTCATGTGTGTGTTCTCTCTGAAGAGTTTTCTACACATCCAAGATAGACATCATCCATGAGACTTTCCTAAACGCTCCATCCTCACAATCTTACCCAAAAAAATGCTTGTAAATATATCATTTAGTGCAGAGCAGAACTAAAGGACTCTATCACATTCAGAAACTTTTGAATCCAGTCACAGAAAGGAAAGAGAGGCTTTTATAAGCAATAAGGTCGCAGATAAATGCCTCGCAATTCTGTTTTATATCAATGTTCATCTCTACTCCCAATTATTAAATAAATCACATTTTGGGGACTAAGCTGTAGCAGACGGAACAAGGAGCAGAATCTGCAACCGTTCCAATCAGCCATTGCTGGTTAGGTGACTGTGAACGCGCCACTTCACCTCTCAGAGCCCAGATTCCTTCCTAGGTACCGGGGCGGGCTCCCTCCACAGCGCCCACGGTGGCTGTGAAATATTGATCATGGGACTCAAAGCTCCATGGCCAAATGGCCTTTGATGTGACTGTACGTTCTGCCCCCAGCTGAGTGGGCAGGCCCTGGACAAAGGTTTCGCTACACCTCAGTTAAGCCGGCAGCTCTGTTTGAGGAGCGCCAGCTGACTTACAAAGGCACAAGAGCCCTCAGAACCTGTTCTGGAGGAAATTCCAGATTGGACACTCCATGCCATCCATTTTCAGCTGGTGTGGTGTAAACAAGGCCTGATGGGGAGGGCCCTGCCTGCTCCAGCCCCACATCAACCACAGAGGCTCTGCCATGATCTACTCTGGTGTTCAATTCAGTATTTTATTTGAAAAAAGACGTTTCCAATTGCTAAAAGCAAACATGTTGAAAACTGGGAGATGGTGACAGCAGAAGGCTTCAGAATCTCACACTTCTTCAGAGATTAGATGAGATAACATCTACCCGTCATCTCTGCGTGCCTTACTCTTCTTGTCATCAAGATAAAGGTAACAGTAATACCAACCACGTTTATTCGAGAATTAAATTAAATCAACTCTACAGAATACTTAGAATTGTGCCTGGCACATCACAAGTGTCTTAAATGCCCAGTATTTCTGACTAGACCATGTAGCAGGAAGGTCATTGGGAAGACAATCTCCAAACACAAGGCTTGTCAATGAAGAATCACTTTCTAGTGTTTCCCCTATAAAAACTCCCTTCTAGTAATGACAGCTCTCCCTTTCCTGCACTGTGTCCATGCTCTATGTCAAGAGCTTGACCCAGGTCATCTCAGCGAATCCTTGAAAAAAGCACCATCAAGCAGGTACTGTTATTTTCCTCACCTCACAGGCAATGACCCAAGGCCCAGCTAGGTGCAGGTGCCCATTGAGAAAGAGGATCCTGACTTATTTAGTAATTTCTGCTCTGGGCATAGCCTCAAAAAGATGCTCAAGGAGAAACAAGTTCCTGATTGATTGGTGATGTCTGTCAGTGGCATAGCAAGATGGCAGCACCAAAGCATCCACAATCACACAACCAGTGAGTATCAGAGCCAGGACTCAAATCCGGTTCTGAGACCCTGAAGTCTACATGCTGCACCTGCATACATCTCTCCAGCTTGCTGAGTTTGAAGCTTCTGGAGGATGATGGCTGACACAACCGTGAGGGCCTCGCTATCACGGATTGCAGCACTGATGCAACCAACATCGGCTCCCCTGGCAGTGAGAGAGCAGAGCCCTGGATTAAGGCTCACTTTGTTCTTGTTAGAACTTCAGCTCCAAGAAGGCAGAAACGCTGGCCCATTTTGTTCACCACACTCTCCCTATCCCTTATAAAGTACCCAGCACACAGCAGGTGCTTGATAAATACCAATCAAATCCATCACTCTGCCGGGTGCCATATGAGCAACTGCATGCACCCATGACGGCATCCTCAGGATGGCCACAGTCCGGCACCTGTGTGCCCATCTCACAGATGAGCAGCTCTGAGAATGTCTGCAGAAAATTAACCTTTCTTCTCATGTCTCACAGTAAGTGGAGATGAGGATTCACATCCATTACCCCGCTCTAAATCCCTCCCCGCTCCCCCAACTCTAAGTCCCAGGAGACCTGCTTCCCCTAAACCAGGTTGTTGCAGTGGACTCACCTGCAGATGGGAATGGCGGGCACCAGCTGCTTGGGCCAAGTGGGCGGCACCAGCAAGATGGACTCGGGGGCCGAGCTCCTCCGCTCATCCTGCTCACAGGGCCCCAGGAACTCCACCGTGGGGTACAGGTGGCGCGGCAAGCCGGCCTTCTGGGGGGCGGCGGACACGGGCGTGGGGTCTGGACTGGTCTTCCACATCTTGGGGGGGATCCCGCAAGGCGAGTCCGCCGCCAGGCTGTTGAGGGCATCCATGAGGACCGCAGAGCCAGCCGAGGGGGGGTACCCCGCGGGGGCGCCGTCCTCCCGGGGCTGCGGCGAGGGGCTCCGGGAGCGCTGGGGCGAGGCTCCGGGCAGCGGGGCGACCAGGGCCCCAGCACACGAGTGCCTCCGCTTGGCACCAGGCGACGAGGAACGCGAGGCAGGACGGGGCACGGGCGAGTGGCGGCCCAGGCAGCTGTCCTCAACGAGGCTGGTTCGAGGTGACATTATTGGCGAGGTTCTGGGGGAATAATGAGCAGGGATGTTTTGAAACTGGGGACACAGGTCGTCGGGCCCGCCGTTATTGGGCGAGACGCAGGGCGAGGTGCAGGGGGAGAAGGTGTCGGAAATGAAGCTGGCAGAGGAGCCGCTGCTAGCGGGGCTCAAGCAAAGCGGCTCGCGGTAGCTCTCCAAGCCGGGCACGGGCAGGGTGAACCGCGGGCTGCCGGCCACCCCGGGCACGGGCGGCTGCTCCCCCAGGAGGCCAGTGTCTCGGACGCGGAGGGGTCCCCCTGCCTGCATCAGTTCGTGGGACGGAGTGATCTCGATCCGAGGGCTCAGGCCTGAGGCCCCAGCTGGCTTGGCCGGACTCAGAAAGTTCTGGGGCCCTACCCTATCCGGCTCTCCGAATCTGCCGGGGGGCTCGCCAGAGAGATTGGGGTGGGGGCTGTATGGCTTGAGGCCATAGTCCAGGACATCATCATGGTATGCGAGTCCGGAGGGTGGGCTGGCGACCTTATGTGCACTCGGTTCTTCTGGAAAGAGAAGGGGGGAGGGGGGGTCTTTTTAAGCCTCTAAAACAAAATTCCCGATGCAGAACAACCCCAGGCTGGATTTTGTCTCCGGCCCCAAGCCGGAACCTCCTTCCCTCACGACCAGGAGGGTGACGCCGCTTCACCCCAGATTCCATGAGGACAGAGACCAGGCCGGCTGGGCTGCGCGGGGGCTCCCAACCCGGGGAAGCATTTTCTTTGGGCTCATGCCCCGCTGTTCACTGGCGACTGAAAGCCTCACCACACAGTATTTACCCTGCTAGCTGATGCTCCTACCTCTGGGGGGGGCGGTGTGTGTCTGTGTGTAGGGGGGTGAGGGGGGGTCTTTTGTTTAAATGCCAGTCACAGCTCACTAGACTGACTTCCCGCGCCCAGTGGGGCATGCCACACAGTCTGGAAAACGTGGATCTAGCTGGGCCTCCTCAGTCTCCCCTGCAGCATGTGGGCCCCGGGTACCGGACGCAGGGGAGCCTGCCTGAGACTGGGGAGCCTGGAGTTCAAATCCCAGATGTTCGTGCCCCAGGGTTAAGAAGTGGCTTCGTTCAGAAATGGGATCCCCACGCAGGCCTCAGCTCATGTTTCATTTTACAGATGAGAAAAGTGAGGTGCTGGGGGGAAAGAGATTCACCCAAAGATACAGAACCAGTAGGATGTGAGATCCCAGACAAGCCACTTGACCCCCCAAAAGCCAGGGTCTGGCTATACAGCCTCCCAGACTATAAAACCAGGGGAAGAGGGAGGACCCAGGTTCCTCTTTGGTAATGGTGTCCAGCTCGGGTTTGTGCTGCCACCTCAAAGTGCCCCAGCTCCCCACCCCAGGAGAGAGCTGTGTAAGGAGATCACGCCCCGTTAACCACCTAAGGATGTGGCTACCCCTCGCCCTGCACTGTCATTTAAATTCTCAAGTAGATGGGACTGCGCTGCTGGGCAGACACCCCGTTTTACTGGTCTGTGTCCTGCGCACAGCTCACAGGGCTGCTTGGGGATTTCTGTGGAATGTGCAAGGGGACCAGCTATTCATTCCCACGCCCCTAGCCCACTCCCCCTCCTGTCTGAGCCATCCTGGGATCCTGATGGCTCCGCCCTCAAAATATAAACCAAATTCTTGTGCTGCCCACTCTACCACTACCACCTGCACATGGCATGTCCCCCCTAATCCCTGGTCTCCCTGTTTCAACCTCACCCTCCATAGTCTGTTCTCGGCACAGTCGTCTCTTGAAACGCCCATTGATAACACTTGCTTTAAAGCCCTTCCCGGATGTGATGTTGAGTCCTGGCATGCTGTCCCCTGGCCCCAACTTTTCTTCCCTCCCCCACTTTTTCCCAAGGTGATTCAGCAACAGGCCCACTCGCACCCTCACTGTTCTTCTTGCCCCAGAGTTCTTGAGTGTGCTGTTCTCTCTGCCTGGAAACCCCCCAACATCTCCACATGACTGCTCCCCTTAGTTCCTTCAGTGTCAGCTCAGTTAACACCACCTTAGACTGGCCCCATCAGAAAGTCACCTCAGCCCCACTCCTGTGTCATTCTCTACCTCTTTTCCTTGCCATCTTTTCTCCACTGGCACGTGGTACTACTTCACGTCACATCAGATGTTTACCAATTTAAGGAATCTCATCCCACTAGATCAGGGGCAGGCAAATTACAGCCAAGGGCCAAATGTGGCCCACAGTCTGAGTTTGTCGATAAAGTTTTATTGTAATCCAGTCACACATGTTTGTTTACCTCTGGCCTATGGCTTGCTTTTGCACTACAAAAGCAAGGGTTGCTAGTTGCAACAGAGACTAAAGTCTACAATAGTCATTATCCAGCCCTCCATAGAAGTTTGCAATGCAGGCACCAGACAGCATGCTCCACCAGGGCCGGCATGATGTCCCTCATAGTTCAGTGCTGTTTGCCAAGCACCTAACACAAGCTGTCTAAAAACATTTGTTGATTGACTGAGCAAATAAGTACTGCAAGAATTATGTCCCTGGGCCTGCCAGTCAGAAATGAAACTTCTTCCTAAAGCAGTGGGGCTGGCCTGCCTTGGGGAGCCAAGGTGGCTGCGAAAGTTCCTTGGTGCCATTTCCAGGCCATCCTGGAGGAAGAGTTGGCTGGTACCCCAGCCCAGGGGACTGCCCTTAAGATAAAGATAAGCAACCTCAACAGGGCCAACTTGGACGGGCCTTGTCTGCCCATCTGCCTGCCCCTTTCTTCTGTCACCTCTCTGTACTCCATTCAAACTTGCTATGGTTCTGCTCTTAGAAGACAGGAGCTCCTTTCTACCTCAGGACCTTTGCACAACTGTTCCAGATAGCTCAACATGCTCTGTCCGCTTCTCTACACAACTGAAGCCACTCAGTCCTCAGAGCTAACATGCTCTCAGTGCTCCCAGAAGGCTTCCTGACGTCCAAGACCAGGTCAGTCCCAACACATTTCAGGCAGTGAAGTAACTCTGAAGTTATCTGTTCAGTGTCTGCCTCTCCCCCAATCTCCAGCCCCATTCCCCCAATCAGTAAATTCCACCAAGACTCTCCCTCCCCACAGTATCCCCAGTACCTGGTCAGCACCTGCCTCAAAAATATATGTGGATGGACTAAATCAGTTGAGAAAGTGAGCCTATGAAAAAATTTACCACTCAAAGATGCTAATACCACATATTCCAGACACACGTATCCTTGGAACCAAGCAATGTAGTTTTTAGAAATTTTTCCAGCAGATACACTTTCCCACATACAAAATGAAGTGCACACAAGATTAGTTCTGCCCCATTGGATCCCAAAAGACTGGAAGGCACCTAATGTCCATCACTGGGCATGAGGTCATCCCGGCTCCTTCAAGTAAGGGGACACGAGGCTGCTGCTGCAAGGGGTGACGAAGTGACTTCTGAGTTGATATGGAATGACCAGCAAGATACAGTGTTAAAGGAGAAAAGCAGGATACAAACAGTATGTGTGGGATAAAAACAGAGGAGCGTGTGTGCACGCACATACACATGCATGCACAAACATGCACACACATGCACACATGGTGCTTACTCAATGCACTGGCTTTCTCTGGAAGTTACAGGTCACAATGATGTCCTCCCAGAAGGGGAACTAAGTAATCAGAAAGAAGACTGATTTCTGTATTATGTAGAGAAAAACATAATTCCCCAAAGAAGCTTTGTACATTGTAAAGGGAGTGGGCAGTGACATAACCCAATATATAGTGATGACACCTGGTTTAGGAGGAGGAAATTGAAATCTAGTCTTCCTCTGCCTCTAATGAGCTGTGTGGCCTTGGGAAAGTCCCCCACCCACTCAGGGCCTCAACCTTCTCATTTACAACAGATGGGCGTTAAACTGGATCCGTCTTCTGGTTGCTTCCGGCCCTGAGGTCCTTTTGATTGTTCTAGCTGGAGTCTATAGGGTCTGATGTTCTTGTGAAGCTGTAGTTCAACATAAACTCATGTGCAAACTTGCACACACACGCATGCATACACACCTTCCTGGCAGGTATTGGAGCACAGATTTCTAATCTAAGAAAGAATCAGCATCAAATCCACATCTAACAACATGCTGATAAACCACTGCCCTTCCAACCAGCAAATAAAACAGTCTCCTAGCAAACATTCTGGCCTTATCAGAAACACGCCCTCAGGCCCATGTGAGCAGGCACAGAAACTTGGCCGTAGAAACGCACATCACACACTCCCTGGGAGCATGAGAAACACAGAGCCAGTTTGCTCAACAAAAGCCTGGAAAGTATTTACATTGGTTTTAATTACTCCAAGTAGAATTTCTTCTTTCCTCCCCAAGATTTTGAAAATTGAACAGCAAACAGGGACTACGAAGGTAACTTAGGGTCGTTTTCCTAGTCCTCTGGGTAGCTGACAGTAAATCTCACAAAGGGCTCATCATTAAAATATGTCTTTAGTGGCCTCCCTGGTGGCGCAGCGGTTGAGTGCTGATCCCCGGTCAGTCGGTGAGGGTCCCACATGGCACGCAGACCTCTCCTGCTGTGCCCGCTGCTCCCCTCAGCAGTGTATTTTGTCAGTCTGCCTGTTCTGCTCCCTGCTCTGGCTCTGGTGAATTCTCTCACCCTCCCGCACTTCTGACTATACCCAGTGCTGGTATAAATAAATAAATAAATCTTTTAAAAATATATGTCTTTAGGCAGCAAGGATTCTTCCCATTTCTCCCTAGACACCTGCCACCCTCCATGGTGGCTAGCCCCCCCATGCCTGCACAGTGGGGAGCCAGGTGAGCTTCCTCTCAGAACCACCACGTTTTCTCAGAAGAATTTCCAGAAACCTTGCTTTGCTTAGCCCTCCCATGATCTGAGCTAACACCATGTGTCACTGTAAATCGTCATTACTTAACACTTCTATTTAAATTCATTCATATATTTTAATTTTTTAAGGGAAACTTTACACCATGACCACAAATGGAAAATTACTGTCACTCCCATAAATGGAAAGTAGGGTAAAAAATTCAGTGAGAAGAAAAGTTACTAAATTTAAGTGAGCCACTGTGGTTGGGAGGCTCGGGACCAGGGGCCAACTCTTTTTTCCCTCTTGATGCTCTTTCTTTATGGAGGTGCCACTATACACATGGATTTGGAGTGTAGAGTCCAATGTGTGTTGCCAAATGTTCTGCACTTCTGCACCCTTGCAAATGCCACAATAATCAAGAATGTTTCCACAACCCCAGATAGACTACTTTGTTCAAGGCTGGAGGTAGGGAGAGGGAATGACAATTGTTAGCCAGAAAGGCATCAAGGACACAGAAGCACCTAGTAGAGACTCCACTCCTTCCTCTAAGTTCAACGAGAAGCCTCGCGGTTAAGGAGATGGAGCTCACAATGTGCAAGGTACTGTCTGTGGATCACACACCACCACCTCACCTGCCACAGGAGTCCCAAAGGGAGAAGGAAGGTGGAAGCAGTGACGGGTTTCAGAGGTTGCTGTTGTAGGCCCTCTGTGCCTCTGTGCGTTTGCACATGCTGTTCCCTTTGCCCA